TGACCTGCTCAGGAAAGGCAGAATAAGTAGAAGCAGCAGCAATTTTAAATAGACTAAACCAGCTACTGAGCATGTATCAATGATTGTGATAAAGCTGAGGAAAAAAGCCCATCAGAAAACAGCTGAGCCAGTTTTCAAGTGCCCTTGTAATGAAAAGATAAACTGCTGGAGACATGCTCCGAGTTTCCTACAGTTATTTCTAGAAGGGCTTTCTCACATGAGATCCTGGTTGTGTTACTTTGAGCCATATCATAATGTTCAGAGACAAAAGTCAGTGTCCTGGAGGTTGGTGGTTACAGTCAGAGTCTGGAGTTCCCCACAGATCTACACACATCTACCCACGTATAAATGTATGGATTTTTTCCATTTCTACCCCTGCTTTAAAAAATGTAAAACTAGAAGAAAAAATTGTGCAAACTTGACTAGAAATAAGGAATGAAAAAGAAAAATGGAAATTTACAAGATGCTAGAGAAAGGAAATAGGTATTTTTTTAAACTACAAAATGAGGTAATCTTTGGCTATAGACCAGGAGGTTCAACAGTGATATAAAGGCAGCAGTTACAAAATAAAACCAATGCACACAGGAAGGTAGAAGGGATAGTTTCTATAATCTTGACAAAGAAAGCTTAAAAAGAAATGACTGAAAAGGATGATAAAAGAGAAATTTTAATCTACTAGGAACAAAAGCAGTGCTCAAAATGCAGTGGGTGCCTGCTGCAGACCATACAAGTACAGGAGGTTGATATTTCAGCTCAAAGCAAGTGGGATGATGTATTTGCCACTCAGCAACCAGACAGAGCAGTAACAGGACTGGAAACAAGCCCAGGTATTTCATCTACAACAGCCACCCCACTCAGCCGCTTTGCCTTCAGGGTGTGCTGGGTGCAGGCAGGTCAGTGGAGCAACACGGGGCAAAGATGTCAGCTCAGATAATAGGCTGGTTAATCTGACATCAGAGGTAGGAATCTGAAAACAGCATCAGAAATCCATTAATAAAGAATTAAAGGCAAATATGCAATTAAACTCCATCAAAAATAGACCCTGTCATTCAACCAGGCTTAGTTAAGTCTAATTGTAAAGACTCATCACCTGGCATGGCACTCTACAGCATATGTAGTATCTGCAGATAACTATCTGCAACATAAAACAAACAATACCCACATGGGTGAAGACTGTCTCCCTGACAGATCTCAAACAGTTTGCCCATGTCCTTTGAATAGGGATGTTCCCTGTGAGATTCTGCTCAAATCACTGCTGGACCCCGTACTATTTGACACTTCCATCAGTGATGGAGAAGCAGATCTGAAATCACTCCTGAAATGCTGGTAAGCAATAGCATGGTGGGAAAGCACACAGAAACACCTGTATTTCTCAGTAAGCCAGACCTGCCAAAGCGGGACTTAATTTTGCATTTAGCTGCATTAACAGAAGGAACAAAATATTGTCCACACCTGCAGGAAAGGGAGTCTGTAACTCAGCTACCCAGAAAAAGCTGAGGGGAGGTCTAAACCTTAGCTCAGCTCTTGCCAAAAGGGTTAAGACACTCTTCAAGGGTATAAACAAAGAAGTGAGTACGAATGTCACGCAGTCTGTGTAGAGCAAAAGGGAGACAAGTCTCAGTGTCGGTTCTGATGTCCCTTCCTAAATGTCAAAAAATGTAAGGTCTGAAACACAAACATTACAGAAATCCTGGAGAAATTTCTTTGTAGGGAGAGACTTAAAGCAGTCCTGTCTCCTCAGCTTGTGGAGATCAACAGGCCCCTTCATCGCTGTGTAAATATGCTCAGGGAGAGAAGGCTGGGTACTTAAAGGGTTTTATTTGGCAGGCAGGGTAGGAAGGAACAAAGGCTGGGAGCTGAGGACGAACAACTCAAAGTGGAAAAAAGGCACATGTTTGTTACAATAAGGGTGAGTAAGTATTGGAACAGATTAGCAAAGAACTTGGTGGTGTAGGAGAACTTGTATTTAAAACATTGTGTTTCATAAAACATTTTTTTTTCCTATTGGACATTGTAAGCCCAACGTGTGACTCAAACACCCTGGCACTGCTGTTGAATTGTGGCCAATTACACCAGGAGGAAGTACGAGTTACCCTTCTGGTGGCAGCTGTGATGACTAGTGTAGGCAGAAGGAAAAATACCCTTAAAAAGCAAAGCAAATGCAATCGTTCAGGATTTGGACAATGCAAAAGGATTTCCTTCAGGCAGTTAATTGGAATTTTACCTAGAGAAGAACATGCTGTAATGGCAGATAAGGCATTTCAGAGGTTTCTGGTTTAGCTGGAGAGCAGCACTTCAAATAGGTCTGACATACAGATTTGATTCCTTGGTAATGGCATGCCCAGTTTCCAGCGACACTAACCTCCCTCTTTTGCACAATGCAATTACATTAGACACAAGTGTGGAAAGCAAATCAGCTGCAATCCTTCAGCTTCACTTGTTCTTCATTTTAAAACTACAGGTACACATGAGGCTCCCAGCAGGGAGGCTGCACACTTACTTGATGATGTGTTTTAATCATCTCAAAACTTTTGTTGTGCTTTTATTTTCCAGAGTAAGTGAACCAGCTCCCACCCAAGCAGCACATTTGCAGCCCCCCAGCCCTTTCAAGATGTGAAGCAGGAACAGAATGGAAGGAAGAAAACGTGTCACTGAACTCATCTGGAAGACAAGCAGCAGGTTGCTAAAAGCCATTGCTTGTAACTGCACAACAGCCATATACAGGTAAATAGATATGTACACATGGTGTCTGTCTGTGTAAGGATGGCAATTATTTGGTTGTAACAAAGATGTATAGAAAATGTAAAGTATTCACAGTAGCTTCAAAGTGGTTCTACTAATGTATGTTCCAAGGGTGTGTGTAAATGTTGCAGCTGAGTGAAACCCAGGGCCCAGACCTCATCTGCTTTACCCTGAGCGACGCAGGACTAGTGCTGGTGTTGGTAAATGAGAAAAGCCGAGCTGTGCTCCTCTCCCCATGCTCCAGCCCCAGTGGAGTGTTGGCTGCTGTAGCCCAGGAGGCAGTGCCTGGCTCCAGGGGCATGCAGGCTCTCCTGCTCCCAGTGCCAGCCACATTTTCCACTCCCAGGCAGCACAGAGCCTGCAGCAGCAGGAAGCGACAGCTCTACCCGCCCTGTGCTGAACAAGGAGCAATAGGGAAGCATGATTCAGCCATAACTGAGCACCTGGGCACTAGCCAAACTTAAGAGCTCAGCACTGCTTCTGCCCAGGGCTCCTCTGAAGCAGCTTGGACACCTTTGCTCTGTAGTATTCTAGATTTTGGGAAACATTATTAACACTTATGCTTGTCCCAACACTCTGCCCAACCTAATAAGCCTTCCATAAATCCAGAGGGCTCAGATCAGAAAGCAGAGTGGTTTTACAGCTCGTGAGCCTACCTGGACCTGCACAGCCTCTTGGGTGTAAGCACGCTCTTTTCCCATGTTTCCTGGTACCCACACGGCCTAGATACCAGAGCCTGGCACACCCCGCCTCTGCCTGGCAAACCCCTCTCCAGCAGCATCCTGGCTGCTCTCAGGAGCAAAATCTTCCTTTAAAACCACCCGTCCAACCCCTACCCATTTGCCCAAACTTCATTAGTAAAGGAAATTCAGCCTTGCACATCAGAAACTTTACTCCAGTAAAGCATGGCATAGTTACAGTTTCAGCACATGGAAATCCTAGAGGCTGTTCAGCTGTTCACTGTTATTTACTTAAGTGACATTTTAATTATGCAGATGATGTTAAAGGCTGCACAGGCCTCGGTGTGAATTAGGGCTTCTCTCTTCTCTTGACAATGACATTGTAATTCCCATAGACTTAATACTTACTGCAGACTTGAGATAGTTTACAAACAGGTAACCACAAAGTCCAAACTCAAAATGCAGCAGGACCGAGTTAAACAACAATCAAACCCCCCTCCACAGCTGCAGAAGCAGAAATGAAAATAAAGCACCATGAACTCTTAGCTTGAGAAGACTATTCCTTTCAGGCATGTTAGTGTAAAGACTGGAGCTCTACAATTTCAGTCCTTAAGTACACGCACAGAGACTTCCTGAAATAAATACAAGATGACAACCAGTAGCCAACAGCCACCACTAATGATTTCATTAAATCATGTATTGAAATCTGCATGGAGACAACAGGAAAATCTGCCTCCAATGTAAACATTTCAGCATCAATATAAACCCCAGTAAGCAGCAATTACAAAAGACACCCCTTCTCCAAAGTCTGAATTAACTACTTCAACAGCACCTATATATATATACATATAGATAGATACTTCAAAGTCTTCATAATATACTAGACCTTGAAGATCTTTTGCAGTCAACTTCAACATCACTTACTTTTTTGCCACTATGGATATCTGTAATAGGAATGAATCTCAGAAAACACGTTTAATGGATTTCATAGTACCATTACCTAGTACCGTCACCTAGTACCATCACACACCAGCGTGTATAGGCACAAAATTTCCTTGTTGCCTTCAGAAAAATTAAGAAAAAGTGAACAAAGTTGGATGTCAGGGGGAACCTGAGCTTAATTGACTGATATTGCTGTAAGCGAGACAAAAACAAATCAGATGCTTCAAATTAATGTCTTGCAAGTATGTTATCTGTGGGTGGCTCTAAGCACTTTCAACAACAATCCCACCATGGGAAGGACTCAAATAAGGCAAGACCTTCACAAACCAACAGAAATACCAAGCCTTTATTACAAAGAAAAATTATTCCACAGAAGAGGTTGGCTTGCTTCCATGCATGCTCTCAGTCACATCCACTTGCTGAGCGTGGAGACAGGCTTCTGCTAGATTCATTAATTCCCCAAGACACCATTAGGCTTTGTTCTTGGCTACAGGTGCGTGAGCATTTTGGTTCAACTGAATTGCTTCCTAGAATGTTGTTGCCAGCATTGAATGGGCCAAAATAATGAACCTGACTGTTGGGAAAGCCAAATGCCACAAGGGAAGCAAAAAAAAAAAATCAAAAGAAAATAAAAATCACACACTGGGCACAGTTATCACTAAGAGAAGTCAAAGGACTTGCTTGACATCCACATTGTAAATAACTTCACAGGCAGGGAAATGAATATGCTTGAGTCTTATCTTCACTTGGGGGGTGTGAAGAATGTTTGCTGCATCCTTCTACTGGTACGTGCAAGCACACGGTCACGAAGCCTAAGAGCCAGCAGAACTAGGTTAAATTCATGTTATCTATTGTTGTTTGGATTTTGAACAAAATTGATGGAGTATGAACCAGTTGATGAATCCTGTTTTATCTGGAAATTTTCTGTTGACAGGCCAAAGGGGCGGAGAACCAAATTCCCAAGATCCTTCAGTTTGCCTGCGATAAAAAGGAGAAGAGAACATGTTAAGTAATAAGCAGAAGGAAAACTCCCACTGAATTATGCCCAACTACACGGTCCAGCTCTACTGATTTATCTACTAATTTAAGGTAAATGCTGTGTAAATCTCTGCAGTTTGATGAGTATTTACAGGCTCTTAACATGAATTAAAAAAAAATCTCCATTGTGATGTGGTTACTGCCAGCTTTGGGGCTGCAAACAGATGACCATGCTGGTTCTGAACAGTCTGTGAGGCACAGAACAGAGATTGTATCCAGGTCAACCTGTAAGACAGGTTTAAACATCACCATAAACGATGCTATTTTTTTCAGTCGCATTTCTGAATATCAAACTGGGGCAGGGGGAGCTTTTTCGAACATGTTCACAGAAAGTACAAAAAAGAAACAAGAGCTGGGGAAACAGTTGATTCTAGGGAACAACTCCGTCCTGCATAACAAAACAGACAGCATTACTACAGTACTCCTAAATACACCAAAGTAAGTAAGATCTTGCATCTCAGTGCTGGTTCACAAGCAGGTATCTTTCAGAGACTTGTGGAATTATTTTAAAGCCAGACTGGTCTTTTTGAGAGTCAGATGACTCAAAAGTCATCTAATCCTAGATGAGCTGCTTTGTACTGGTGGTGTGCTTCTTCCTTAAGTTACATCCTGTTTAATTTAACTCTTAAGTTCATAATTTTATACTGCAGCCTAAAACCATTTTGGTTATAAAACGATAAAGTTGTTCTCAGTATCTCTGCCTGGGATGAATAGTTGCTATTGTACTTCTAGGCAAACATTTGGTCATGCTTAGCTTCCCGTTGGGGTGAGAAGTGTCTTTGTCTACTGGTGGAAGCATCCTGGCATAGTCCAGCATTGCTCGAGTCAGTTGTAAACAGCTCCCAAGCTATCCAGGCGCTGCAGCTGGCTCAGGAGCCAGGCAGACAAGTTTCCCTGTTTCAGGAAACTCTGAAAGGTCTTTTCTAACTGGAGTTAGCAGGATGGCTCTTTTCCGGCCATACTAGAGCCAATAAACACAGAACAACTGCCTTGGTATTCTTGCTTGTTGCTAGGCCAGCTCTTTGGGAGAAGCTGAAGACCATAAGATGTATTTAATACTTTATTCTTCATCTCACTGGGATCGAATAATTAAAACAATACAGTCACAGGTCACCTTCCTGTACCCTCACTTAAATCCACAGACAGCAATGCCTTTTGGTGCAGTCACATTTCATAAATTGCTAATGAAGCAGAAGCAAGCCTTTGCCTTTTCCGGGAACTCAAGCCCAAAGCACTGCTCCTGCTGGCTTGGCACATATAAACCCATCATTGTAGAAAAGCACTATTTCCTCCTCCCCCACTCTCCTTTCATCCCTAAATTAAGATCTGTAGTTAAGTCCAACCTCCCCCTCCCCCCAAAGAAAAGCTCTCTTAAAACAGAGACTGTGCTTGAAGGAAGGAAAAAGGCATGTGGAGCTGTGACTCAGCTGCAAAGAGTTCTCAGCAATCAAACACGCATTTGTCCCTGAGCAGGGTCACATTCTCCTCTGTGAGACTGTATCTTCAGAGATCTTGTTCTTTACATTTTAGACGGCCTGTGTCTACTTTTCACCTGGAACTCCACATGTTAAGTTTCTTCAGCAGAGCCATATTCAGAGGTTAACAAGAAAACTAACTGGTGAAAATCAATTCACGGCTCAGAAGTCTGTGATTCATTACTCGCCTAAACTGCAATTTAACATCCTGCAAAAGGCAGATGCACAAAAAGATTTCTCATGATTTACATTAAGATGTAACAGCCAAAAATTAATTGCCATTCAGTCTTTCTGGCAATAATTCTAGTAGAGTTGCTAGTGTTAATGTGGTGTTTGGAAGTTGAAAAGCTGGATATTGTTAGGGTTAAGAATTTTTGTTGGATAAAAGACAAATTTCCTGATTAGGTCTCATCTTTCTCTAACTTATTGTATTACCAACAACATTTCTTAAGCAATTAAAAGAGAAAGGGCAAATCCTTTTCCCTTCCCTAAATGGTGAAGACTGAACTAAAAGTAATTACATTAGCTCTGGTTTGAACTATTTAAAGTGACCTCCCTGGGTACAGTATTGGGGTTTAGCAGTGTAATCGCAAATACAACATGTACCCTCTCAGTATCAAAAAAAGGAAAGAAGAGAGGAATTCTTTAGGCACTAAGACTAGTAAATACATTTGTTGATCTCAAGTAGCTGGAAATCTCTCTCACTGGCAGGAAGGCCCAGGCAATACGCTCTGATAGGCCTTCCCATTAATCACACTAATAACCAAGTACATTTCTCTGTTTTCTAAAATGCACTCCTTTGTAACTTAAGATGACAGTCCCAATAGTTTTTAATTAGATTTGATGAACTCTGTGTGTATAAGATGGGTTACACAGATTGCCATATGTTCTATCCCAGTTTTTTATATCCAGTGTACTTGGCTCTCCTTGTAGCCAAGCAGAAAACTAGCAGCCTGGGAGCTCTGACAATAAACCTTGCTAAAACTGTTCCAAACTTCCCCTCTTCTCATATCCTCTCCCCAAAGGAGCTGGTTCTAGTTATCACAATAATTATAGTTTTTCTAAACAAAACTAGCTTGTTGCACAATAGCTGGAAATCGTTGGCTTTAAAGTCAGAAGAGAAATAAAATAACAGAGAAAATGGTCAGAGTATGTTCACATCCTGGGCAATCACTAAGGCAGAGGATGCTCGCGTTTTGAAAGCACAAAGAGAAAGAGCCCCGTGGATTTTAAAGCTATTTTTTAAGTGTGCTGTAAGTTCAGCTTTCTTTAACATTGAAACTCAGGTTAGTTCGTACTGAGCAAACTTGAGTGGCAAGTGGCAGCACTAACCTGCAAAGATTGAATGGAAAATACAGAAATAATTTAAGTACAAATGTTAGCTTTGGAAAAGTTAGACCCTTGCAGAACACTTAACAGAAATGGACTTGGTTTGGCAACAAAACATGTTTTTTCTAGTGACATCAATCTTGCTGCACTACCACTTGCAAACAAGTATTCATGGTTAGGTAGTCTGGAAGAAAAATCCAGCCAAGAATGTGTACTCTGATTTATTTACACACAATCACTTAAGAAGTGGTTTCAGCTTCTGACAAACTATGTGGTAATGAGCTGCAGCACTGGAAAACAGGAAACACACTTGGGGAAGGAGGAAGATGCACTCTGTTTATTTCAGTTTGTTTGTACACAGCTCATTTTCATGACAGTGTTTGTTAGTTGGGTATAGCAGGACTTAGTTTCAGTTGAAAGAATAAGAACCTGGAAAAACCACATTACTGGCTGATTCATTGACTAAAATAAGAATTCAGTTCAATATCCAAACTTCAAAGGGACCAAAGCATGAACTGTGACATTCCTTCTAAAGATCTTGTTGGTGATTAATTTCAGTGTCAGGGCTCCTGGAGCAGGCCCAGTCTGGAACTATTAGGATGCATCTGACTTGCTCTACTGGAACCAAAAAAATCTGGGGTACAACCCAGACACCTGAGCTGAGCCCCCTGTGAGAAGGCAAGAATGAATCCTTGCAAACCTGGCACTATTTAACCAGCAGTCAGATAATCTCCTAACAGATTACCACAAGCAATTGTCTATTCTGACACTACTCAGTTGGTAAATAGCATTAATGAAGTTCTTGATAAAGAAAAGCTGAAACAGCTTAAACCAAATACATTGTGCAACAAAAATAATCCAAAGAAATCTCTTAACTATCACATTATATCAAGTTTGTCTTCTTTCCTTACAGAACTCCCATCTGATCCCCCTTCAATTGTAAGAGGTTTTTCTTTGTCCTCAGACAAAACAGCAGCATTTAGTAAACCTTGGGAAGTATTTCCTTCCCAGGCCTTCACTGCTAGATCCATCTCTGCTCTCTCTCTTACCGATGAGATACAGGGAACTTTTTAACACTCAAAAGATTAGTCTGGTTGCTTCCCATATTCCTAACTTAATTTCAAGTGTTCTAATAAGTGAATGTATTATAGAAAAAGAATTTCTCAATTAGTGTTACACTGGAGATCACAAGCAGTGCTAAGACTAAAATATCACCCAATTGACCCCATATAATTTTGATGATACTTGTGACAATTTATTTGAACCTATCGCATGCAAAGGTTGTGGATGAACACAGGGTCCATACACTGTCTACTCCACTCTTGGTCTGGTTTTCCTGGCTTTTACACCATTAAAAATCACTGCCACCTCCTTGCATGTATGTAACATGATTGAGAAGGAATTCCTTTCCCGAGAATCCCAATATAAACAGACTGAACTGGTTCCCAAAAGACCAGTTCAGTTGTGAAATCCTAACTGCCACTAGATTAACACTTTAAACAGATTACATCTAGTGTGAAATCTAGGCAAGGATTACCAGCATAGAAGGAGGTTTGTAATGACACTTTATAAAGCTGGATTTACTGTTTCAGTACAGTCCCTTGTGATTAGTGAGGCCCTTTAGACATTTGTAACAATGGTACAAAGGGAGAGTTCAAGAAAGATCAGGAATTGTTTTCAGATTACTTTGTGTTGAAACTCATCGCGTATCCTACAAAGAGGCATGATCCTTCTGGAGACTTTCTGCATTTGTCATTTATTTATAGCACTATCACACTTAACCTTCTTTATTTATGGCTTGTTCTAAGTACAATGCTGGAAACAGAATCTAATGATGTAAAGCTCTAGAAAGACTCAGTGCAACTTTACTAGGTCAAAACAGGTACAAAGCAAGAGCAAATCAGACTCCTGCACAGCAAGAAAAGAAAAATATCAGCATAAGGCCTTGAAACAGTCTCTTCTTCCCAAATATTTCAAGAATTAGTGTTACAGTATGCTAGACAGACTGAGTTCATTTCACCTGATTCTCTGCAGAATAGCAAAACAGTCTTCCCCTTTCCCATCCCAAACCCTCAAAGCGTACTCAGAATAGCATTTCATCTACTACTTGTGACACCTAGAATGAGCAAACAGGTAACTATTGGAAGCGATTTCTGAAACAGGTTAGGTATAGTTAGTTTATCTTATACTGTCTTTTGGCCTTGCTCTTTTGTGTGGATTTTCTAAGCAGTACAAATGAAAATACTCTATAAAAATAAAAACTTGTTTCAAAAAGCACCAAGTTGTCAGATTGGTTTAGGAGGTGTCTGGACTCATAAGCATTTACAAACCCTCTTAAGTAGGAGACAGCAGACAATGTTATCAGCAGTCTTTTTTTGGGCAGGACATTTTCGCCCCAAACCGTTAGTTTGTGGTGCAAGGAAGTGCTTTAATCTTAGTATTACACATGAAAACCAATCTTGCTTGGGCAATCTTATTTAAGTAGTTATCCTTTTGAAATACATCAGTCCAGTTCAGATATTATCCAAGCGCCATACAACTCGATGATAGAGGCATACACATTCAAGTAAGTTGTATTAATTAAATTATCTTTCCCTCAAACAAGTAGAGTCAATAGTATCATTTGGTAGAGAGTTGTAAAAATCAAGAGACAATGAGTTAGAAAATCTAACTGCACTCCTAGCAAAGCCAGATGCCTGTTTGTAACACTGTGTAGGTCTAATTCAGCCTCCAAATAAACAGAACCAAAATACTATATAAATCAAAGTAAACATGAAGACTTGGATGTCTATAGGCTGGAAGTGCTACTAGAAGAACCCAATTTGTTTCTTCAGACACAAGATCAAACACGCTCAGTTATTACAGCTGGTTGACTCCTTTTACGTAAAAGTTTAGGAAAAACCCTGTTTCATCCCTTTCATGGGAATGTTTTTACTTGCAGAGAGAAGGGGCAGAGTTGGTCTGTTTCAAATGATTTTCCCCTGCTTTAACATGCATCAATACTGATTTGTTTTAAAAGGTCTTGAGTGTTCTTTTTTTTAACTATTAGCCTTTTCTGTACGGGCAAATTATTTGGCTAGAACTTACTGTGGGTGAAACCAAGCAATCGAGAACTACAAAGAAATCAGTTGTTTTGTTGAACACAGAACAAGTATTTCCCTTCCTTAAAATTTTATGTAAGACATTCTACTTGTGCATTTTTATTTTTCTAGTAGACTATAAAGATTATTCTGTAAGTTACATGCACACACTACTTACCTAGCATTTCTTTCTTTAATTTTTCATTCCGCTCTTCAATTTGTCTAGGTAATCGCTGTGGAGAGAGACAAAAATTGGAATCAGACCCATGCTTTCAGTAATTCTGTAGGTTAAGCTGAAGGAATTTTCATGCACGTACCCAGGATACACTGTTTGTGGCTTAAAACAAATCCTTATGTCAAACCACCCTTTCATCTTATTTTGGAAACCTGTAATTCATCCTATGACATCAGTTCACATAAACACTAAGTTGTAACTTGTAAGTGCAGGTTTCAAATAGGCATGCATTTTTTACTGCTGAAAAGCAGATCCCATCTGTTTGCTTGGAATTTTAACTGAAAAGCTTATGGAATTTAAAAGACATATAATTAAAGTATATTTCAGCCCTATTTCCTCAGCTGCATGCATTATATTTGGTAAAGAGGCTAGGCAGGCACAGCATTTGAGGAAAACATCCATACAGTCCATTGTCAGTGGCGTAACACCTAAGGGAAATCTGCACTGTGAAGACATGAAGGTCTTCCAAATACAAATACTCTATCAGAAGATCACTGAATTAACTTGCTATGAACTTCAGGATATAGTTTAAGGAGCAGCATCTTATGCAATGTATAGCATAGCTCTAAGGAGGAGAGGGTGTTTTAAATGAGGGCCTTGATTTGGCAGTTCATCATGGGGAGGTAATTCCAACACTTTGTCCTGAGCAAGGTACTAGTCCAAGTAACAGCTCATTAACACGCTTTTTCCCTTCTCAGAATTGGCACCAGTGTTCAAATCTGTTGTACCATCACAAGCAAACTTAGCACATGTTTCCAATGACCATTACGTAACTGCATGGTCTATGCATTCCTAACAATTTGGTTCCTAACAGTTCTTTTCCATTTATGCCTAGAACAGCTGTGACTCATCTTCCAGCCTTACACAGTACTGGTGCTCTGCTATATGATTGTAATGATCGTTTTTAATTAGCACTTTATAGTCACATAACTAAATTTACCTTTGTATAATTAAATTTTGCATTTTCTATACACCTGTTAAATACAACGTTAAAACAAGATATATTACAAATGACAGTCACTTTTTACACATCCTTTCTTGCATTTCTCAGAAGTACTACTTCAAGCTCTTATACTATGCTTATTACTGTATAGTTCTGGCAGCTCAGCATGCAGTTATATGCATAACTATGCAGTCTCTTCTCGTGGAGGTCATAGCAAATCAGACAAATCTACTATAATGGTGCTACCAGTAAACCAATTACAGTTGCAGACTACAGCAATTCACTCCAGATACGCTTCCCTTGTGATAACTGGCTTCTCAACATAAAGAATTCATCTCCTAAGCTTGTGTCTTCCTGTCATTTACAGCTCCAGTCACCATGGACAGGTTTGTCATTCTGGTACCACTGCCACAATGAAATGAGATGTTCACCTCAAGAAAAAGCACATGGACAAGGCTGTCTGGCTATTCCTCTCCAATACAGGATACACTGGTGAACACAGGCAAATTCAGTTCATTTTCTATAGTGGTGGGGAAGACAGGTGAAAAAATACCCCAGAAAAAATAACAACAGAAAAATGAGTGCTAAGGAACAGAAGCAGCTATACATGGATGGCTAAGCTTGAAACCAGCCAGGCCCAGCACCACTACCAGTGAGCCAGATCTAATTAGCACAGTCAGACCTCATCTGACTCCTGCTAACCCAGAGGGGCTTATTAAGTTGGGTGCAGATCTGGACCTAAGCTGCCTGCACGAAAACATGTGTGGATATCCCCAGGCTCTAAATTCAGTTTGCACCGGGGCTGTGCAATTTGCTGTATCTTAGATGAGTTTGGCATACGTAGCATGTCTCTTTCACATTTGGACATAAGGCTTTGGCAGGAAATGAAGATACATATCCTTGATCTGAAATACATACTACGTGTTTTGTCTGTCTCAATACTAGTATTAGAAAGACTCAGCATTTCTCACTCCAGAAATGTATTTGCAGGGTTAGCTATCTACAGGAAGGAGTCTGTAAGTATCATAGACACCAGATAAATAGTTGTCCTTATCTCAAAGTGCAGCTTCTTTTGGCAAATAAGTTTATCTTGCCTGCCAATCCCTCAAAAACTGTGCTGAAGCTAGAATTCACACAACACTGTTACCCACCAGCTAAAACAAAACCCTAAAGAATGACACTATATAGATTGATACTGTGTAATTAAACACTTTCTGAAAAAGCATCAATAGGGATTATTTGTCCACAAAACATAATTTCAAACTGTTTAATTTAGCACTGAAGATGTCAAAAGTAACTGAAGTGTGTGAGACCAGGATTTAAATCAAAATACTAGCACTGTACTCCTGCAGTGTAGAAACAGTACTGAAATTTTAGAGCAGCTACCAAATGAGGAATGAAAGCAAAGAACTACTCTGCATTTAGTATTTTTAAACTGCCATTTAACAAGATCATGACATTCCCATAAGCAGCATGTGAAATATTTTCTATATATTCTCTACAGGAAGGAGAAAGATTTGCTCTAACAGTGAATGAAGCTAATTTGCAGATTCTCTTGATGCATCATTTCCATTAGCAGTGAGGGGGAAAAAAATGCTGCGATATTTCTGCAGAGAGCAATGCTCTTTACCTTACAATAAAGCAAAGCTCCTTAGTTCTTCTACATATTAGATATGCTAACCATGTCCGTGGAGTCAACGTTAGAGCTGGAATTATTTTTTTGTATTATGAAATTTAGAGATTCACTATGATATTTTAACAAGTGTAAAACTAGCTGTCAGTATTTCCTTAACAATTCTTTAAGAGGGGCGTTTTAAGTTTCAGTCTCAGAAAATAGCTTCTACCCTGCAAATTGACAAAGAACAGGACCAACTCAGGGCAGAATGTCCTAAATCCCACTGCAGTGTAAATTGAGGGCATTTTGTACGAAGTGTTCTGTACCACATGTGAGCCTAAAGCCTCTGCCTAGTAAAATGAGGTCAAGCAGCAGAAGGTAGATGTAACAGTCCACCTCTGTACTTCCCAGCTACAAAAATTAAGATTACAGGTTGTTCTAAAACATTCCTGAAAGATGGCCAGGAAGAACAGCATCACTGTTTAATCTGTGGAGTTTGACTGGTGGTTCCTAACAATCTGTATGATGTTCACAATTGTTCTTTGTATGATGAGCTGCTAAAACACGCTCCTTATATGCTAGTGCTATTCTACCAAGTAACTGGCTAGATTACACAAGGTCTCACTCTGGAGTTGATCTAATGCTAGAAGGACTACAAGCTACATGAAGTAAATCCCATCCTTTCCTTTAGAAATGTCATCAGGCTCCTTGGCTGAATTCCTGGACCAAATAAACCATAGTGTCAGCTAGGAGACTATAAACAAGGCCAACACAAATACTCTTTTCTAGACTCTGATGGACCCATCACAGTCACTACCCATGCAGTAATGATGTTTGACAAGCTTGTCATTTAATGAGCCGCTGCCAAGAGCTAGGTGATAAAGTGCTCTCCTGCTCTCAACTAGATGCATGCAACAAGCATCAGGGGGTTGTTTCACAATACAGTAAACCAACCTTGTCAATAGGTGCTGCCAAAAGGGATGGCTCCCATTCCTGTACTGCCTTGACCATATCTTTCCTTCTCACTCGTATTTGCAGCAGGACTTGTCTGACTGTAAAAAGCCAACTATGTAAGTATTTGCTTTGGGGCTTTTTGGTTGTTGGGTTATTTTGCTTGCTTGTTGCTATTTTTCCCTTTAGCTTAGTTAGTTGTCTGACAGACTCATGTATAGAACCAGCCATCCCCTAGGGCCAGACATGAGGCAGTTCCATCGCTAGCACAAGGAAAGCAACTGGACAGCTTTGTAAGCAGCAGTTAATTAGTACATCAGTTTAGCTGTTCTGTGAAACCATACCCTTACCATTAACAGAGTTACACAGTTAAGCAGAATATTTTTCTGCCATCAGGGCAACTGATCCAGTTGCAGAGGAAGTAATTTCAGGCAAGGCTTCTTGTCTAATATGCTATAAAAGCAGTTTCTAATCTGTCACTTCTAAAACCATAGTATGGGGAAAGGAAGGGGGAGGGAGGAATCACAACTAATGATTTTCCCAAATGAAGAATTAAAGCAAACCTAAGTGTTTTAAAAATACTTCTGCATCAACATATTCAAAGTGGTTTTAGAGATACATTGGCAGGTGAAGCAAAATGATTTCACTGATGTGAAGCTGAACTAAAACAATGACACCCTTTGAAAATTTAACTGGATACAAAGTCAGGCATCGGCATATGGATTTGGGTGCCCAACTAAGAGTTACATTTTAAAATAGCATCCATTTACCTTAAAATGTAAGTGAAAAATAGATTGGCTGTTGTTTTCCCTGCAGAAGATGGTCAGCAATTTACAGGCTCTCTGGAGCTAGAAAACTATTCACCTACCATGAAGCTACCACCTGTCAAAGCTCCCACTTTGATAAAAAGTGACGACCACTGTACTTCTTACAGTGGCTACCTTTCACTAGAATTAGTGTTCCTTGAAAACCACAGGTTGTCTGACTGCATCTCCAGGACATTTGTGCTTTCAATACAGCCTTCATAAGCTCTTTTCAAAAATCAGAACAGCAAGCAGCCAGTAAGAGGAGCTTTCTGCACAAAATAAATTTCCTTTCTTGCTACCCTTGTGAAAAGACCCTCTGAACTTGTCAAATCCATAGTCATTTTCCACACTGAGCATTAACATCCTAAGTATTGCTAGAAAAAGCACTTCCTGCTGGTTCCACAAAGACTTACTTGAAACCTCAAATCAGCAGGCTGTGGCAGTGGCTTTAAATCCCCACTGACTAGGGATTATTTACATGTTAGATTGGGGTTTCAGGAAGTGCATGGGGGTTACCTTTTTTTTCATCCAAGCTGACACATCCTAAAGGCAAAGGAAGCTTTTAAAGCATTTCCTTACTCTTAGAGAGATGTGGCAAAGATTCTGCAATAAATGTTTAATCCTGAAGTATTTGTAATTTGACTGAAAGTGGCGAAAATGGACACTGGAACACAGTATTAAGCTGCAGATCCTTTTAATTCTTTTTTGAAGAATGGAGAAAGTAACTGAATTCAGAAGAGACTGCTGTTAGCAATCATAAAGGGCCTTTTTCTTCAAGTGAAATGCTAAGTTTTTGAAGATTAATAGCAGACTTCAGTCACTATTAGTAAAATAACTCCAAGTGGCCAATACACACACAAGGCATAGCAAAGAACAAGAACAGAAAACAGCTAAATCAAGAAACAAAAATATCAACACTTTAAAGGAGATACAAACATAGATACAGACTGATGGAATCCTGTTCTTTGCCATTCTCAAAGTTATATAATCAAGTCATCAAAAAAAAAAAAAAGTAATTATTTTATAATTATGCCATAAGGGCACTGAACTGCAAATTTACCAATCAGGAAAATAACTGTACTGAAAACCAGACTCCAACCAATTGAAGAGCCAGCAAGAACTGTATCTGATTTCCAAGCTGCAGATCCATGTTGAAGTGATGGCTACTAAAATGCGTGAGTGGTTTAGGCAACCTTTTCTAGAATATGCATGAATACAACTAACAGCCTCAATCAGAAAACTAGAATGATGTGTGTGTGTGCAGACAGGAAAAAAAGAAAACACCTTGGTTTAAAGTGAAGCCAAAGTATCCTAAAAAGGCTTACCATGCATGCTTCTCTGGCTTGATGCACTGATGGGTCTTTTTCTAGGACGGCCTTATAATCTTCCAGAGCTTCATCTAGTTTTTCTGTTTTTTCATATAGTTCTGCTCTCCTCAGCAAAGCTCTAATATAGTTAGGATCCAATTCCACTGCTAGAAAACAAAACCAAAGCATGGTATTTTATTTGAAACATTTCTACACCCTTCAAATGAATTCTTAAGTGTGTATTAAATTCTTAATAGTCATCTTCATAATGTAGCTTAGAATCAAGGAGAGTCAGTTTAAAAGCTAAGTAATATTTCAGAAAGGCATACATCTGCCTGTGAAAGTCTAATGCAAATGATCATGTTTCATTTAATGTCTACAATCTATCACAGATAGAAGTGATTTATAATGCACAAACATTTAATTTTGCAATACTATACCTTCAGTGATGCTTCAGAAATTTTAAGAACCAGTAAGATCCTTTTAAGCTTTTGTATATTTAATAAGTGTATGTTGTTAGATTACAACTAGAGTTAAATGTATGTATGATGAGCAGGGAAAATAAGCATTTCTCTGCTTCTCTCAGTTCAAGTTAAGACAAACTCCAGGAGAACTTCTGGTGAATTTAATACCAAACAGTCAAAACTGGGTTGGGAATCCACAGTTATATTAGCTCTACAAGTTAGCAGAGGGGAATACTGACTGAATTTAAGCTTTTCCTCTCCTTATTCTCTTGGCAGCCCTGTTTACAGCTGCAGTTAAGACTCAATGCTAAACTTAACAGTAATCTGCAAACGGTAATTTCTCAAAAATTTCTTAATCTGTTTTTCATCACAGAAAGAGGGAGCATGAAAGACTTCCCATTTTATAATTACTCACCCATTAAAATGGTTCTCAAGACAATTAAACCTAGGATTATCTAGCTAAATATTCTAGCTCATTCCTTCTGGAAGGACAAAGACAATGCTACAGTCAGCAAGTTGCAGGTTAGTGTGAATTGCTCTGCTGTGCTCCAAGTGTTGCATTGCAGTTTGTAAGCGAAGTCCCTGGGGACTGTCAAACGCTGGAAGGTTTAAGTCTCACTGCTGCAAAGCAGAGCAAGTGCCTTTCAGCCACTACAGAATTAGGAGTGTTTTTCAAAATGCACCACCACCAAAACAAGGCAAAACCCCAAAATGACAGGGGCCAGCTAGAATTTGTTACCTTCAACAGTACTTTGAGCATGTACAAACTCCTGTTTACTGTACAAGCAGCACTGGCACGCAGCCATTGGATCAGTTTTCTGATTGGGGATTTGGAATTTTTTCCCCAGCTGTCATGGGGAGTTTAACAAATACTCGAACACGGATGAGTGGGTGGCAGCAATAAAACAATGCACAGCTGAAATGATTTCACAAGTTGCAGGGAGAAAACTATGCAGGACAAGAACAGGAGAGCGTAAGCCCTTGTGACAAAGCAAAAGCCATGCATAAAAGGGACTTGTTGATGCTTTTAATTCTTTAAGGCCTCATGGTTGTTTGGAATCTAGGATTAAACCAAGATTTGGACGGGGAATGGCAGGTGGAAGTGGGTTTAAAATAGTAGGGGTAAGGAATACATAATAAAAAGACTTTCCTATGAAGACGTACAAACAGCAGCCTTATTGGCACAAGAGAATAGAAAGTAAATTATTTCAGACTGGAAAAGACAGACATTTTACAAAATAAATACTATAAATAAGTCTAGATTCAAGGTGTCTTCCATCACAGCTTTTCTTTAAATTCTTTAAAGACCTGTAAGACCAAATTTACAGCTCTGCAGTAAGGCACTAAATGGCATAATTTATGCACGAAAGATCTGGCACAAAAGCAGCACACAGGAAAAAAGCCATACCTTTGCTGCAGTCACTTAGGGCAGCTTCTGTCTTGTCCTAGAACACAAAATAGTTTTGTTATATTTAAATCATATTTGGGAATGATTGCGAAACAGATTATGTACAATTGCAAGCAAAAGGTTTGGCATTCCAAGGACTTGGGATGTTCATGTAATCAAGGCTTTTCATACCGTTGCTTCGGATGCAAAGCTCTTTACCAGTGATTAGCTTCCTCTCTGCGAAGGCTGCCAGTGTTCAAATTGCAGGGCTGCCCCACTAATCGGCCTGCACTGCACAGCCAGCAGCAGGCTCCAGACAAACGGCTGAGTCACATCTGCAGGCCTTGGCTTAGCTGAGCTACAGCTTTCCTACCTCTGTCAGTTAATTAAGGGGTTGGAATAGGCGGTTCCCAAGAGCCCCAGATAAATTCTTGTCTGTACGAGCTAAGACATTTGGAAAGCAGACACTGCCTTTAGCACTAATACAGCTTTTGCTACTAGGGACAACGCATGAGACTCCCAGAAGTGGTAGGGACAAGATCTTAGTGCACCCAGACAACCATAGTTAGAAGATGAGAGCCAGGCAATCTGCTTGTAATGAAACAAGAAAGAAAGCAAAAGAGCTGAGACAGAGATCCTATTTTCATCCAAACCAGGAGGGCTTAAAAAAATATAAATAAAACATCAGGCTCTTCTGTGCTTGTATTGTTGATCTAAGTAGCTGTAATCCTTCTACACCCAAGGAACTATCTTCTCCATAAAACAAAACCTGCCTCACAAGCTTCTACTGTAGTGCAAAGCAAACGAGTGCAGCAAGTATGGAAGAACAAACTTAATGGGCAAGCTATTCATAACACCAATAACATGAATCTATTTTCAGAGTGATATATCAGTCTGTCAGGTTTCACAGATCAATACTGGTGAGATACACTAGTACATACACAGTTCTTTTATCATCTTGGGTTCCCTTGGGTTTCTCAGTTTAGTGTTGTCATATTTGAAAGGTTCCAGCATCTGTACTAACAATTCTATTCCATTTTTTCCTTGTCCCTGGTCATGGAATAGAAAACATAGCAAGAAAGCCATAACTGTTCTATCCAGACCATGCCCTACTACATAATTATAAAGGAACTGCGTAGGAAGCAGACTAACTGAATTAATAAAGCCAATTAATAAAGGTAGGAAGTCCTGCTTATGCCTCAAAGCATTTGAGCAAATTAAATAAAGACAAGTATATGACACTCTAAGCTTTTAGAAAAAACCCCAACCACTAACTAGCTACAACACTAAACAATCTAATACATGGTCTGCACACACTAAACATGCTTGAAGACATGAACTTTGAACTTCATTAGAACAGAGTGAATGAAAGAAAAATCAGTGTTTTAAACATAATGCAGCACAGCAACTTTGAACAGCTGTTCCAGCTGCCACTGGAACAGGTTTGTATGCATCCTCAGTAAAACCAAGAGCATCTCTACTGGGAGCATGACAGACTGAGCAAACAACTTTATTCTTTGCCCTCCTTCATGCACCCCTAAATGACTTCATTACTGCATTTGTCAGATAATCACTACATGGCATGTCATAAAATAAAAAGAATATTCACCTGTTTCATTTTTGCAGCAGCTCTGTTTGAAAATAAAACAGCCCTATCTTTTTGGAAGCAGGCCGGACAAATCTGCAGAGCCTTCGTATAAGAGTCTTCTGCCTCTCCAAAGTCTGCAGATGCAATAGCAAAAAAGACTGAAACAGACCATTTATTTCAAATTCCAGTACAGTCAGTGAACCACATGGCTAAGATTTCTTTGGAAACACTTCTCAATATATGATGCAGCATTAAAGCAGAATTGGTAGATGCTCTCAGACAAACTACATTACTAAGTAGCACACAGATCAATGACAATTCATTATTTTAAAACCAACACCTTTGTAAGAGCAGAAATACAGTCCTGAGCTTAATGTAACAAGTGCAGCGTGATGTGCATATAGTTCTCATCCTTTAAATTGTTTCATTCTCCTTGAGTACCAGCCTTAGAGGTAGAATCTCTTTAGATTGAGTGAATCCTTGATCTGAAAGGAAGCATGTGCTGAAAATCATCACTGCACTGATACCTGTTCAAAGTAGCTACAGAGATATTTTATTTGCCACATCATCTTCAATGACTGACTTAAAGGTCAGTCACCACAAAGCCATTATCACCTGAAGGTCATCCATCATCAAGTCTGATTTAAAGCAAGGACCAGTGGTAAACCACATGGGATTATCAAGTTGAAAAACTTGAACAATAAACAATAAAGAGAGAATCACGAGTGAAAAGGCCCTATACCGACTGAACAATGCCCTGCCAGCAGACAAGTTCACTGGCCTCAAAACAGAGCAATTCTTGCTGTCCACATTAGCTGGTGACTATCCAGGTGCTTAAAAGGTTGTGTATTTCTCATTAGTAAGCACTCTGGCAGGCACAGGCACACTGAAAAGATCTGCCAAAGAATTTGTCAAGAAAAGACTATGGATGAGACTTCACAGGATGATTCAGCCAAAATTACAGGCTTGCAGCTTTCATGGTCCAAGCAGTTCCCCTCTGCCTGCTCTGATGCTTGCCTGAATTGGTAAATCATTCCCCAGGAATCTTGCTTTTTTAGCACACAGTAAAAGACCTCCAATAGAAAGGCCACTGTCTGGTTATCAGGTTGTACTTCCGGAAAAGGGAAGTTACTTGGCTGTGTCCCTGCTGATTGAGGAAAGTATGAATCTGCATTTCCTGGTTTCTTTGTGAATCCTCTACCCACCAGAACACTAAATGAAAGGCAGGTGCCAAAACTGCTTGCCCCATTATGTTTTTAATTAAAAGCATTGGTACAGTTATTTATTGCTGAGCTCAACCCTTTTGTTACATTCAGAACACGTCCAGTTCTGGCATAAACTAGAAAAGTACATACCGCTAGGGTTTTTTAATATATGTATTTGTGTTACATGTATACATTTGTGTATATCTCTACACACACATATGTATATAGATGCACATGAAGTACATATAGATGTACATACATGTATATAGATGTCTGTATATATACACGCACACAGACACAAATAAAATGTATAACAGATAGAACCAATGGAGAAAAAGAAACACGTACAAAGACATGAGAGGTACTGAGCCATTGAGTCCTGCATCAATTCTGAGCACACACATTAGCAAAACTCAGAGCTTAGTGGAAGTCTTTTTTGATTAGCAAAAGAAATCCTGGCACTTGGAAAGCCGTCAATTCTGTATCATGTTCTTAGATTTAAACACTTAGCTTTCATGAGAATCCTACTTTAGTAATCCAAGTCTTTGTGATTTCAACTTGACTCTTAAGGACGTCTCCTATCTCCTGTTCTCTAGAGCTGGATGAAAAATGATACAGATGATAAATTGGAATAATGATAGGTGTGAAATCTTCCTATGGGTTTTCTACATCACTGAAGTATTAATTAAGATTCTCTAACATCCACATGGTGTTAAAAGATCATCAACCCACCTCCTTTCTTGAACTGCTCATTTCCTTTCTCCTTCAGCATTGTGCTCTCCTTTCTTCTTTTCTACAAAAGAAAAGACAATGTCTCAAAGTATTTAATTGAAATGAACAAGTAGGTCAGCTGCAGTTCCAAATAAAGTATGAATGGAAATCAGAATAAAATACAACCTGAAGAATTTTAAGTAGCACCAAGATCACTTGCTTGTAGTTGCTGTGACATGATATACTTTACATATCTATGAAAAAATGCAGTAGAACAAGAAGGCAACTAAAAAGCTCCAGTTCATGGACAACAGAATGCGGAAAGAGCATTCATAGTGCATAACATGCTTTAAACTAATACATTAGCTTTTTAGCTGGCTGTTTGCTTCTTCTTTTCCAACTCAATTTAATTCAATCGGTGCAGGTCAACTATGTAGAATACATTTTAGATGAAGTTTCAAAGGTTTCCTTGAAATTCATAGTTACATGCACAAAGCATGTTGAACTGACTGCATGAGAAACAGGTCCATGGCTAATACTGTGCTGAAAAATTTCTTATGCAGTGAGTGACTAAACATCAGACCTAGAGACAGGAAGATTGTTCTGTTATACAGTGAAAATTGCACATGCTGAGCAGAGTTGTGTTTTCGACCATGAATATCTTAACAGTACTCTTGGCAGTAGTGAAGTTGACACAAATGCTCTTAGCCTCTGAAACAGAAAACACAGGATGTCACCAAGCCATCTCTTCAACCTATTTACACAGGAAGCCTTTCACATGCAGACATACCTCACACAAGTACAAACAAAGCGGTATAAGCCAGACAGTAACGTCAAGAAGCAATGCTCGTGTTCATGAATCATTTATGGTAGAAAAATGATCATTTGACCACTGGTTTTGCCCTCAATGCACATGCATACAAAAAGGACTTGAATTCAGGTGTCTATAAATTACAGATCATTGAGCAATTAAAAACCCAGCACTAAGAAAAGGAGCAGTTTCCTTTCCTGCAGACTGTGTAAATCAAGGATTAATGCAATTATCAATATCGCACAGAACATCTCCTTGGAAACAGCTAAATATAGTACTCTTTGTAGAGCACTGCACCATCTCACAGCGATGCCAAGCAGCTGACAAACAATACAAAATCAGAGGTTCTCTCCTCTTGATTTTATTGGGTTTGGAAAGTAATTCACTTGACCATTGTCACCATCTTTGTAATAACAGATCACAATGCTCTAAAAACAAGGCTCAGCAGAATGGCATTCAGTTGTGACACAGAAATTACACAGCAAAATATCATCTGATCCTTTTGATATATGCCTAGATCAATATTTTTTTCCCTATTGCCTAGTAAATGTTTTCTAATACTCATTACTCATCACAGTTAAAAACCCAAACCAAACAAAACGTAGGTCAGACGAAACATGCACTACTATTTAGAAACTGGCCTTCCTGCAGGGTGCATTGAGAAACCTACAGCAGTTCCTCCACAATGTCACTCGCACCAATGTACACAAGGCAGTTGGTGCTTTCTAAATACGAGCAGACAAACAAATTTAGGCACTTAAGGCATAAGCATAAATTCATATATGCATGATTCTGCTATTCAGCACAGGGAGTGCTGTTCCCAAACAAAGTGCCAGACAGAACAGCTCCAGTAAGGCCACTGCCACGCACAGTCAGCCCTCCACAGAAAGAAATTTTTAACATCTTGAATGCATACAGAGTGGAAAGAACAACAGAACTCATTTTCATACCAGTGAACAAAGCAGCCTGATTTCAGCACAGAACAGGTTTGGAGAGGACAATCCTACAGGAAAACATGGAAGATCTACATAGATAAGCCTCATTCAAGAAAAGAAATGCTTGAAACATCAGCCCTACTGACTTCATTGCTTATGACCTACTTAGAACTGGCCTTTAAGTGCCATTAACTGATTTACTGTTGCATAAGGTAGAGTTACAAGTCTACAATAATGAAAGAGCTTTTCTTGTATAAAATGACATCTACAGCATGGCCACAGTACCCCTGATGCAGAAACCCTAAAAATCAAGGAAATCTGGATGAAAAGCTTTACCTACTATCATTATATTGTTTCATTCTGTTAAAATTATTACAAAATATTACGTGTTTACCCCAGGTAAGTATTAAACACTAATATAAAAAGTGATGTGCAGCAAGAAGGCTTTAGAAGAATAAGCTTTATACTAAAAAAAGAGTAAAAGGAAAATTCTTCCATTGTGGGATTCTTTCTCAGGTAGCCAAGAGGACTGTGACCTCCAATAGAAGAGAGAAAGACCAAGACGGCTGTATGGCCATGTTCCCTGGGGAAACATGGGCAGATGAAAGTTCTGAGCAACGGAAGAGTTTAACAACTGTCACACTGGGAAGCTGATGATTCATACAACAGCTCCTCCTCCAAAAGCCTGTTCCTTGGCATGTCCTCTTGCCTGTGAATCAAACTGCACAGACTTGAAGGGTAAAGGCTATTAGTCACATAACTGTTAGAGGCACTCAAACGTCAGTGACAGTCTTGCGGTCACTTCTGACTATTTGACCAGAAAAGGTGTTGTCTAAGCATGTTTCAGAAGCCAGCAGCATTGTTAAGAACACCGTATATGGCTTTGCAGCTTACTCAGCTCCCTGGAAAGCAGCAATGCAAGCAATGCAGTCCTGCTTCAAAACCAGTGTTTCTGTTACAGCCTGACCAACATTTTCAAGATATCACTGGATGATGAGTTTCAGGCTGTCCCTTAAGTTCCAAACCATACAAGTTTTCAGAGTATTTTTCACAAAGGTAAAGTCTGTAGGGTACCTCATGTATCATTACGGATTTGCATTTGAAGCATGACCTGTAAGCAATACATAGTAGCAGACATTCCATAAAAGCAAATTCCTCTGCCTTTTCCACAAAAATGTAAAAGCACACATATTGGCATATCACATCCTAAATGCACTGCCCTCTAAAGCATATTGTGTATTTGTGAAATAAATACATCATCTATTCCACCATATATATATTTCTTTAACAGAAAATCCTAACCCAAAAACAGTGGAAGTCAACTCTTTTGGACGAATTTACATTTAACCTGAAAGGACCACTCCAATGGATGCTGTCTTCTATTTGAATTCAGGGTAAAAAAAAAAAAACATCCCCAAAACCAAAATACAAAACTCACCAGCAAACAAAACCAACCCAAAAACTAAGCTACTGTTAGGAGACTTAACCTCCTCACTCTGTATGCTAAATTTCCAGCTTGGATGGACAATTGCAAAGTGACTGGTCATCAGTTTACTGTGATCACATCAGCCCACAGTGAAAAAATTGCAAGTGACTTGTCCTTGGGACAAATTTTGCACACTGTCATTTCAGTGTCCCCACCCTTTCATTTTTCAGGAGAAGATTCAAGTAGCTGCAGGGCAGGCTACCCTTTCCTCAGGAGGGAAGTAGGTCAGACTGAACTCCTGGAATGCCTTGCCTAAGGAAAAGACATCTTGACCCACTACATTCCCGGAGGCTGCTCATACAAAACATCGGGGTCAAGCGCAACTTCCCCAACTTACACTCTATTATGATTTTCTGCTCTTCAAAGGCAGCAAAATATTAAGGATTGGGTTTTGCCAATTTTATTAACACAAAGATGACAATTCCAAGCAGCAGAGAGGCATTATTTTTTGATGTACAAAGTCAAAAAAATAATTTTTTTAAGTCCAGAAGAAATAACTACATTTAACTGGTAATATGATTCTTAAAGGATCTGACTAGAAATGTTTACAGATTTGGATATTGAATTACAATCATCCAAATTATGAAGAAATTGGGATTTTAACATAAACCTGCCTGGCAAGCAAAAGGTACTGAAGATTAAGGCCTGATCTGAAGTAATAAGAAAAGACAGCTTGACCTTCTGACAATAAAGTAAAACAATTCAAAAGAAAGGCCATCAAATACAGTCCCTGGACCTCAAAAAACCTCAGTGTTAAAAATAAAAGCATTAAAGCATTATTATACTATTAGAGAAGAAAGCAATGTATACAGTTTCTCTGTTTGTTTAAAAAGCAACCAATATAATAAAATGCTGGAAGTGAAATCCTTGAATACAGCTGATGAGAGCTGAAGGACAAACACCCTCGGCTTCTAATGCTTCCAACTATGCTTCCTCTGCCTGTTCCTATGCATTTTATTTGATCAATTCATTTAACTTTGCTAGGGAATTGTTCTTGGCCCCAGTTTTGTCAAGAGCAGCAAATGTGTACACTCTCTGTAAGGCTATTTATACAGTGTGACAATGCACATCTGCATCTCATATACCCTTTTGTAAGGTCACCAAGTAGAAGTCAATTTAAAATTACTGGAGTTCAAAAGGTGCATGGAAGCAAGGAATTTAAACAGATAAGGAATGTATTTTTCAGCTGCAAATACCAACTCTATTTCTAAATCATCCATTAGTAGTCATCTGCTTCCCCCTGCAGTTTTGTGAAGCTATTGCTGTATCATGCATCTAAGGATTTGAATTTCAATGTAAGGTTGTAGTCACTCAAAAAAATCTTTCTTCCAATCTTGCTAGTGTTGTCCCTTGGAAACTGTGCCCAATCTGCCCAATCTACACCCAGAGGCACAGTAATGAGTACTGCTAAACTCTGGCTGATCTCTCTGCTCACTGTAGATCTCTGCTTATCATAACTGTGGTAAAATCAGGTTAGCCTTTCTTCTGCCAAATCACTACCGTTTCCTGAAACTGTAAGCAGCACTTCCAGAGACAACAGATCACATCCATCCTTGACAGACAGTTTAATATGTCAGTCTGTGACTACTCCTGAGTGACAACACATGCCATCCAGGCCCACCTGTTCAGAGACAACAGCCTCACACAGAAAAGTGGAGCTGACCACTTAATCCATCACCACAAGTTGAACAGATCTCAGTTCAACAGTATCAGCATCTTTCAGAGAAATGCAAACTGAACATAAGGCTTTATATTCAGTTTATATGATTTTAATCAGACAGCAGCACAGAAAGAAAGATGAAGGTAAACTTTATTAAACTGCCATCCAACAAAAGATTTTTATGGTTATT